TCTCTCTCTCTCTCTCTCTCTCTCTCTCTCTCTCTCTCTCTCTCTCTTTGTCAATTTCAGTGAATCGCAATTGGCGTGTTGGTCTGAACGTTCTTGACTGACATTCGACTTTTGGTTTCTGGGGATGAAAGAAAACCGTTTGCTGTACTTTTTAACTTTGGAATTGTTCAATGAACGATAACGAGCTAATTAGTTTAATAGCAGTTACATCATAGCGGATCGCCGCGAGCCAAAGCGGAGAAGAAAAAGAAAAGCACATCGTTAAAATCGTTAATCGCTTTCTTTTTTTTCACCATGGTGCAACTATATAGATTACCAATTGCATCGTATTTTGTTAATTTGCCGCGATAATAAAAGAAAAACCGAAAAAAAAGTTTTTTCTTTTACTGCAAGTGGCAATTATGGTGCTGCAGTGTCGGAAGTGAAACCAAATCTTTCTTAATTGCTCGAAAGTATGTTCCATTTTTTGTGTATTTGCGCACGAGTGCGAAGAAGAAGCCGCTTTCTTGCTCTTCATATCTTTTCAATTAATGTCATTGTCGAACCGTTAGTCGAAGAATTTAAAGTTTTTGTTTTGATTGTTTCTTTCTTCGTTCGGCCGTCATAAATCCATGTCAAGATGCACTACAAACAGTTGAACTGCATTGGTGGAAAAAAGAAATGATTTCAGTGGAGTTTTGTTGTTATTTCATTCTACATGTTTCAATCGCATTTCAAATATATCAAAACGTTGACGTGCAAAAATTCCAGAGTACATAATGCAAGAGCTAAAGACTTCTTTGGCCGAAGAGATACAAACATCGTGGATTGGATGAGTTGTGTGAGGTCCAGTGAAATTGCCGTTAATTATCAGCCGGGACTAATTGTGAATGATAGCGATGATGCAAAGGCAACAATTACATTCGAGCTATAAATCGATAGAATGAAAGCAATGCGGTAATTTCGAAATAAATCGATCGGATTCAAAGGAAAAGTGGAATGCGGATGAGATGTGCGCCCGAGCCATTGAAATCATGTAACCGCAAAACTTGATTTATGCCATGATATGCGATGTATATTGGATTGGTTTGGTTCGGTTTGATTCGGTTCACATATAATCGGAGTATAAAGATCAAAAATCGTCATTTGACCGAAATATTCGCATCATTCAACGTCTCTTTCATTTTCTCTTGAACAATTGTTTGGATTTGCCCTTTGATTTTTGCTGGCTTTTTTTTCGGTAACGACCCCGAATTGCCCCGAATCAACGCGATCTCATTTAATTTCAAAACGGGAAGGAAAACAAATCGTTGAAATCGTTGAGCTGTCTTTGCGTCATTGTTCGAATGTCATGAGGTTGACTAGCCCAAACATTTTCGATCACGATAAATCTACCTTTTTTCCATGCTTTCATTCAAACCAAGAAGAAACAGAAAAATAAAGGTTAAGCTAAGGATTGATTTTATCTGGTTGTGAATATATGAACAAAAAAATGCAGTGAAAAATTCAAGAGAAGAGAAAAAAAACGACTCAACACAAAGTGAAGCAAATCAATGGCAAAAACAACGAACGAACCACAATCCATGGTCTCAAAGAAACAACAACAAAGACATCGCAGACCGGGGCAAACAGCAAGCAAGCTAGAAAAAAAATCGTAAACAATTACACAATTATTCGTTAACACCAGTGTAAACAAATGCAAAAATATACACATAACATTAGACGAAATTTCAGCGTGCGGCCTGGCATTGTTTGACAGCATTACAATTTTGAAATGTGGCTAAAACGAAAAAGTTTCAACTCGGCTCAGTGTGCTCGAATTTCGATGGAAAGCCAAACACTCGAATTCCAAACGGCTTGAATATAATTACAAACTTTTCGTTCGATGTACAAAAACACGCGCACACATTGGTGCTTCCAATACGCACGATGGTGCTTCGAATGTGTGTTTGCAAATTGACATAGACAATAGTTGCTTGGGGTCACATTACAAAACATGGCAAGAATATTGTACGCAAAAATACTTCCGAGAACTACCGACACACACACACACACACACACACACACATATATATATATATATATATCTAACTCCAAACTCTTGTTAACAAACACAAACTTCATTTTCACCAAGAACTCTTTCGGGCTGTGATGACAATTTGTATCTCATGATACACTGCATTGAACGCATTGCGATCAGCTTCGAAATTGTAACAATTTCACTTTGGCTTCACTCAGCCAACACAGCTTTGCCAAGTGAATGGGACCACGTAACAATCCTTTGGCATTCGACACTGGTTCACTGTTGGCTTTATTCCATTCAATTTACGTTCAGGTTCGCTCTCATCATGAATCATGATTAATTGATTTGTACCGAACTCGATGTCGATGTGTACTCGCTTGCAGCCATTTTAGCCAGAGGATTGCCATGTCTCGTACAACTTGGAGTGGATTTTTGTGTATTCTATAAACTTGACAAATGAAAGGTTTTCAAACAATCCCGCAAGAAGATACAGCGGCTGTGTGCTTTGAGGGCGAAAACTTTGTTGTTGACACTACCGATTAAAACAAAGTTCGAAGGAAAAGCTGAAAATAAATCGATAATTCAATTCATGAACTCACCGTTAATTGTCTGGTCGTTGGGTAATCCTTTATACTCTGTGTGTACTTATTTTCACTCCAATTTTCCAAAAGCGAATTGAAAATAAATTCAATTTCTGTCCAACAAAGAAGTGTCGTCATTAAAAGTGAAACAAATTCGAAAGGGAAAGACAAAGAGAGAAGGAGAGGGAGAGGGAGCTATCAAGATAAACCGAGATTGAAATAAACAACTACCCGCTACCACAAACAAGAATTGACACTATATAATTACTATGATCACACGTGTGTTACGCACTTTTTAGCAATGCATTCACACACAATTTTCCATTACAAATGCGTACGGTTTCAATTTTATTCTTCTCTCAGTAGATTTCCATTTTAATAAGCTGCTCAAATTGTGATGTGTATGATTTAAAAGAAGTATAACTGCGTCAAACAACACAATTAAAATCTTTCGTCACAATCCGACGCTGGAAAATCCATTTTTATATGGCTGCTTCATTCCGCAAGCGATGAATAAATGGCTTAAAGGTATGAAATCCAAATCGCACAAATTTATGCAGAAAAAACAGCGATGAAGAAGACGATTTTAGGAAGAAAACGTGTGGAGTTCTCGAGTGTGTCGCTGTGAAATCATTTCCATAAATAATGAGCGATGAATTATTTATCGATAAAGCACGCGTTTGCGTAAAAAAAAGAAGAAGGAAAAAAAGCAACAAATCAAAAATGAATGTGTGTAGTCTCACAGTAGTCATTCATCCGAAAAATTTAATTATTTCTTTTGAGCAGATATTTTTTCCCATTTGAGCCATTGTTTTTGTTTTGCCAATGGGTGTTGCATCCATCCATACAGACACACACATTCACACTCGTCTCGAATAAATGTGGCAAACGAGAAGACGACAGATTTCAATTCGTTTGCCGTCATTACTGTTGCTGAGTTTGCAATTGGCATTATTATTTCTGTGTGTGCTGCTATGCTTGTTCGTCTGTCGTTTGTTCGTTGGATTTCTTTGGTTTGCTCCAATTTAATTCGATCGACACGATTTCGCAAAAATTCGTTTATTTACATCGTTAAAGCGAGTTAATCGCTTTTGTATTTGAGTGGCTGTAAGCACTTCGAGATTTGCCATTGTTATTTTCGTTTGCCAATGCATTGGCTCAATTCTTTTGTCACGAAGAACAACCCAATGTCTTAGATCTTGGTGTTGCTTTCAAAGAAAATATCAACTTTGTGCGCTGCGCTTCAACAAGATAGATACGCAGCATATGAATTATTACGATTTTTTTTTTCGCTTCTTCTTCTGGTATTTTTTTTGTCTTCGCTGCTGTGCAGTTTGACTCATTTCGAAAATAATAAGAGCACACCAGGCTAGAGAGTAAGCGAGAAAATAGCAAAGATAAAAATTTACTTCATGATTACTTCATTTCTATTTGATGCTTGAGATTGAATGTGAATGAATGTTATTCGATTTTTGTGAGCGCCAAACTCAAGCCTCAGCATATTTTATTTCTTTCAAACAGGAGGAATTGTGTTGGAGCGCACACAAAAATTCGTTCATGTTGTGTCGTTTCATATATACAAATCAATTGAAATGTTTACTATTGTGAACAAATTGGATACCACACAATACATACACACACGAATATGCATGCGCGAAAATTAGAAACACATACGGTTGCCATGGGAAAAATGTTAATAGGATGCGGCTGAATTTCTTTTGTGTGTAATTCCAATGATTCACAATTTTTAATTTTTTTTCTTCTTCTTCTCAGTTTTCGTACACACGTAGATATATATGTTTGCCATTATCTCTTACATGCCAAATGATAACGTAACTCTGTTTTGTTTACTACGGAAAATGCACACGCCTGAATTATTCAGGTTCATCGCAGAAAATTTATTGTACTGTGCTCAGCATCAATGAATAAACCTTCCAAAATGAATTGCGTTGAAATGAATATTGATATTGAACCGTTTCAATCGAATTGGGATCGTTTTTTGATAGGATTTTTCGTATTGCAAATGGTTTAAGTTTAGTGATCACTCATGCGAGAGAAAATACAACGATTCTTTCATAGGCACAATTAACAGATTTTCTTCCACAGTGTGAAATGTGATTCAAATGGGCGATTGTAATCGGATCCGAAGCAGCCGTGAAAATCATTCAACATCAATTAGGCACTTGAATACAAAAAAGACACAATTATTTCAAATTGTAAATCGTTAGCGAGATCGAATGATGTAAGATAACATAATTAATTTGGATTTTCCGATTTTTTATTCGCTCTGCTTCCAGATTCTCGGGTATTTAAAACAAAAGACAACCTTATCTTTTGCGTATCTTTCTTAGAACTTTTTGCGATTCAACCGCAATAAATTGTGTTAACTCAATCTTCTTATCCATATTTGTCTGTTTTTGTAAAGGAAGCGAACGAAAATGCGCAATTTCTACCGTGCTTTTTCCCATTGTGATCACCAAGTGATTTTACCGCGTGCAAATAGTCAGACACTTTCGATTAAAATGTAAGCCTTATTGTCTTCACGTTACATATGTAATTAATTGACTTTTGTTGCCGCTAACGCAAATAATTGCTAGCGTTTTACAATGCAGAGAAAAAACGAAACATCGACACAGGCTTCTCAAACTGACAATTCGATTTATATAATCGACATAGCCGTTGTCGACAGCAACAACGAGCAGAAAAGTTGTGTTCAAGTCTAATTCTGTTAGACAGAAATTGAAAGAAGGAAAACTAAAGCGCACTGACAAATCCGAAAAAAAAATGCACAAAAAACACCGAATAGCGTACCAAAAACCAAAAAAAAAAACAGCACTAAAACAGAAATTGAAGCAAAGAAGAAAAAAAAACGGAAAAATACGGTTTTAAAACAATGCACACGTACAAACTAAATTCGAATAATTACGGCCGTTGACGGGAAAACACTTGAATTTTAGTTCACTATAGCAATCTTTTGTTGATGATGATGATGTTGATGGTGGTAGTGGTAGCGAACGAGCTCGATGTGATCGCTACGGCTGAAAATCTCTAACTGAGAGAATACCAAACGATCTGCAGCCGTTTTATTTGCTTCACACGTTGCGCGTGTTGTCTATCTTTCGTTGAGCACGCTTGTATGTTTGTTCGGTCTTCAGTTTGTCTCTCTCTCTTTACTGTCTTTCTTTTCGTGGTGGCTTCGGTTGATCGTCTTGTACTGTGCTGTGTATTGTTTCGTGATCAACATGTGATCGCGATATCGGCTTTTGTACACATTCGATCGCGCGTACTTACCCGATTCACTCACATTTATTTCCCATTGTTCCATTCTGTGAGACAAGCAGCAAACATGAGCCATCGGACGCTTGGTTCTGTCAAATGAATGCAAATCAAGCTCAAGTTCGCGCCGTGGTGACGTTACATTTTATGCGAATTCTTGGAAGCGATCACTGTTCAATGAGGGTTCTTACGTCGTTTTCAATTGCTGTGTGTCACATTCATCGATAATTCGTTGAATTCTATTCAAAAGACTTTTTTTAAAATTGAATTTAAAATAATTGATTTTAAAAATCAAAGCAGCAGATTTTATTTGGTAAAATATAAGTAAAACCTTTGACTCGAACAAATTGATTTTGTTTTGGCAAAATGAGGAATGACAGAAAGTAAGGCGCAGAGTGATTGGAATATTAGGAAGGATTCGATTGGCTTTTGTTCATTTTTGGTATTGATAGAAATAAATGTTTGTGCATAATCAAAAAGGTCAACGAATCAAAACAAACTTGGTTTCGAACATGTTTTTTTTCCAATGGGGTACCGATTTTCCGAAAGCTTTGTTTCGGTGGATACTGTTGGAGCTCAAGAAAGCTATGACAGGCTTTTGGTGCCATCTATGGTAAACATACTGCACTATGCATTGCTGGGCACATTGCGTTTGTCTATTTCAATTCAAATGGCATTAATTCCATACAGTTTTATCGGAATTGGAAATCAAATCAAATTAAATGGTTGAATTTATCCGCCAAGGAGCTAAAGGCAGCTGCTCAACACACAAGTCAAAGTCTATCGTGGCATTCCATGCATGGAATTGCTTTGGAAATCATTAAATTTTGAATATGTTTTCATCAACAGAAAAAAAAGACGAAATAGCACAGCTTGATTTAATGGCGTTTTTTCTTCGTTCGTTTCATTTCCTTGATAAAAATCTGTTGAATGAACGAAAACAAGGACGCGCGGAAGCAGACTCGTTTCATTAAGCCCGGCTGACATTCGTAGGGCGCTCATAAATTCATCACAGCATTACAACACGTGTATGAATACCAATTTATTTGTAAACGAATGAAATGGAGTCGGTGGAGATTTGAACGAGATGATTTATGGTAGAGTTTTTAATTCAGCCACAAAAATGTATAAAAATCGAAGTGCGTGCCAGCCGAATGGAGGCACAATTTAAATATGTATACAATTCGTCGGACGGAAATTGTGTCGCGTGAAGAAAGTAGGTGTCCATCCAACGAACAAAGAGCAAATATGGTGGAATCATTTCATGTTGGATAGTTTTTTTTTTTATAGTATACGGTTATTTTTTTGGTATGCAAATCGGTTTGGAATAAAAGCGAAATGCGCAAAAATGAAACAACATCAACATCAACAACAACAACGACAAGAGAAGCAGCCGTACACTTTTGAAAAACGCACAAAGAGGATTGTGAGTGTTGAGGGCTCATTACATCATCAAGAGAGCTATCGTCGGAATGGAGGAAAAACGGCATATAAGCAAATCGAGCGAAATGAAAACGCACACACAGTTTGTGTGAATTGAACTGGGGAGTCCAGAAACAAGAGAGCGAGCGAACCAAGCACATACGCACCGTAATTATGGAATAGTTATGAGTATATAACTCATGCGTGTATATATATACGCAGTCTGTGTATCGTTATGCACAAATGATGAAGCACACTCGGTTGGACCTTTTGTTATGTCAGTAATCAGCGCAAAAAATACAGCGAGGAAAAAAAATACAACAGCACACATTGCTTCCGTTTTTATTCGCAATGAATAGTTAACGGTGCGGTGTGATGCGATGCGACGAAACGCGTGCGCTTATGCCTGCCTATCCATCCGTACGGGGCACAATCATCTTCGCAATTCGTTTTCTCTCTCTGCATTTCATAACAGTCATACGCGCTCGTCGCAATTGGCAAACGACGTTGACGCATACATTCATAATATTGCCGCACCTTCTCAACTACCACGAAAGCGAACGATATCTGAAAATACTACGGATTAATAGTACGGTTTGTTTTGCTTGAATAAATGCGACGTCATTGTCGGAAGGGTAGATAACTTTCATATGCCATTGTATGACGTTTGGGCTCTCTTTCGCTCGTTCGTCAAATTCGTCGCGTTTTCGCTGTCGTCGCCGTCGCCAGGCTGCTTGTGTTTTCTCAACAAACAATCGCTCACACAAACACATTTCGATACGTTGCCTAGATGTTACGCCATTCACTCTTTGTTTCAACACATGCATGCGTCAAAACCATATCGAAAGCCTTATTTTAATGAATTTTCAGTCAAAGCCATCGAAAAAAAAACAAACAGCACACAAAGTTTGAATGTCTCCAAAGGTGGAATAAAAAAAATATTACCATGAAATTGAAATCGAATAGCATTTCCGCAACAATCATACACAATACATAGCGTTCGCTTTGACTGGCTTCAACGCGTGTCACACACACACAAACGTGAGCCTTTTCCCCAAAGAAAGAAATAGAAAAAAAACTCGAAGGTTGCTATATGTATTGGTCGTACGAACATGAGCTCAACGCCGATTCCGAAATGGTGTTCGTTACGCAGCAGCCAATTGACATGTGATTTCTATCATATAACAATGTATTTTTTCTTTTTCTCTCCAACGATTGCGATGCGGCAGCGCTTGCGACGCGATGCGCACCACTTCGGCCATGGCGTAAATAACAACGTTTCGATCGCTAAGCTGGCAAGCGTTCAGCACAAAGACCATACGTGATTCGTTTACAGTTGAGTACAGATCGATACGAGACATACACACATTGTACGAGTATTACAACCAATCTGCTGGCCACACCAAGCATTTATTTCCAATAAAAATCAACAATATTTTTCTTGCTATTTTCCAATAGTAATATTGCTTGAACCAAATTTTCATCCAACATTCTCCGCTCATCATTTTGTGCAAAAGGGTTTTCACAAAATAACATCGTAGAAAGAGAGAGAGAGAGAGAGAAAAAACCTATTCAACGACAGCAGAGAAAAATCGATTAACAGGCGATTCATTCCCTCGAATGTGCTCGACGAGTGAAAAAGTCCAGACGCGACGTACAAAATAATAAACAATGGAATAAACGATAGAGAGAGAGAGAGAGAGGGAGAGAGAATTTTTTTTTATAATAAAACGTATATAAGAGAGCTCAATAAGCAAAGTCATAACCGAGCAGCATTTCAAATAAAAACGTATTCGATCATTGTATTAGATTGTGAGAGTTTGAAAAAAGCAAGCAAGCAAGCAAAAAAAAATTATAAAGAATTTCATATATAATATAAACGTTGAATTGAAAGTGATATTTGTTTCAGTGTGTGTGTTTCGTGAGTATTTGTTTGTGCGAGTGAACATATGTGTGTGTGGCAAATATAGTAAACAGCAACTTTTGTGTGTCGTTCACAAAAATACAGAAAAAAAATTATTTTCGCTATTTGACTTGAGTGTTTCCATATTTCCAAAGTGAAAAGCGATAATCTTCGCAGTAGAAGAAAACAGAGCGTCAAAAAGAGAGAAAAAAGTCCACATAAATTACGAAACTTTGTCCACAGTTTGAAAAGAGCTAAAATAAATTCGAATTTATCTCGAAAAAAAATTCGTAGCAGCGCGAATAAAATAAAAAATAAAAGTTAAATAAAAAAATCCAACGGAAAAGAAAAGAGAATCAGTCAAACGAGCGAAAGCAAGAGGAGGAAAGAAAAGAGTCCCCCAAGTGTGCTGTAGACAATATCTAAAATCGAAATCCACTGTGTGAACGGTTGGTGTGTGTTTTTTTCTTCGTCTCATTCGTTTTTTCGTGTATACAAAACTGCGCTGCGCCGTTTTGTCGTTCGTATATAAATTTCCTTGGCTCTGAATGTCTTGTTTTACGTTCACTTCTCTCGCCAGCATCTTGCTTCTAGTGTGAGTGGATGTTTCGCCTGATTATTATTATTTAGCCCGACTTCACACAACACATTCAGCTACAGAAGAAATAAAAATCCATGTCTCTATATACCAAACGATCGCAACCAATTTAATAAAAACACCAGCAAACTAAAAAAAACAAAAGAAAAGAACTCAACGAATGTGATAATTCACAAATTAAGACGAAGCACCGAAAAGAAATCGCGACATAAAGAAAAAAAAAGTGAAGTGAAGTGAGAGAGCGAAAGAGATACGAGAAATAGAGAGACACATACCAAAATAAAACAAACGAACGAAAGAAGAAAAAAACAATCAGTAAAATAATCAGTGACTTTGATTTTGTTAGTCGAAAACACAGAGAAACAAAACAAAAAGTTTGGTGTAAGTGCCATTTTAAATTATTATATAGATGTAGTATACACGTAGAGTATTCAAAATTGTTGTCGTTGTTGTTGTTATTTCGTTTTTACTTCTTGCATTGATATTTATATTATTGTTGGACGACTTGTGTGTTTTTAAAATGTGGCCGCTGTTGTTGCTGCTACTGCTACTGTTGAATCTAGCTTTTTGGCTTACCACTTCGCCATACTGGTCTATGGTTATCACAACATTCGCTTTGTGTTTTGCTTCTTTGTTTACTCATACACATTTTTTTCCTGTTGGTTCGTTCGTTCGTTCGTTCGTTTATTCCGTTCGATCGTTTTCATTAGTACGTTCGTCTTCTGTGTTGTTTCTCTCACACTCTTGTTGTTCTTATTGTGCAGTTGACGACGGTACATGCGATGTCCCGATTCAATATAACTTTGTGTTCATATTAAATGATCGAGAGCGCGCGATGACGACAACGACTACGGCAACGACAGCGACGGCGGCCTCCACACATTTCTGCACTTATACTAGTTGGTAGTGTGTGGCGTGTACGCTGTACGCTGCCTGCTTTCAACACAACTACGCAATTACTCGATTATGTTTGTATATTTCATTAATGATGACGATGTCGTAAAAAGTCGTTCATTGTTTTGTTATGATTTCGTCGTACAATGCGGCCCCGTACTACATACGTATGTGTGTGTTTGTATCGTATAGCGTACGTATATTGTTTTGGGGCCTTTGTATAATTAAACGAACGGATGGTTCCAACCATTCGTTGCTTGAAGTTTGTAATTCCAAACGCGTTTGGAGCGTTATCAATCTATCTGGTTTATGTTTTGCAATGAGAATAAATATTTCCTCACGCCGTTCCATCAGTCAATTTGTACGCTCGATTTGCCAGCACATATGTGCTGATGGTCAGCACATTTTCAACCGAGAGACCGAGGAAGAGATAGAGAAAATTAAAACAACCCTAGACAACAATAACAAAATGACAAATACATTTGCACAATACACGTCCCATTCGGTGTACGTACAACGGTCGGTCACGCCAAAAGAGAACGGAATCGACGGCATAAAATTGCGTTCATTTTCATTGATTCTGTTTTGATATGTGCAAATCGTGACTCAAGTGTTAGAGAGCATGTTCACACAGTGCGACGTGTCTCTTGCCGAGTATGTGTTAGGAGTAGACATCGAGAGATAGAGAGACAAGCGCATTCGTTAGGCTCGGGGTATTATGTATTATATATATATATATATATATATTTATTTTATGATGTTCATATGAGGTGATGCTTCAAAGTGAAGGTGAACGTGTGCCATGGGGGAAAACGCTCAAATAGTCTTAAATTGAACTGGAGCACCATGGTTTTTTTTTGGAATGGCAATGCTCACGTTCAAAGCGAGTCTCGATCAAAGGCAACATATTCAAATACCATCAGTTTCTTTTTAATTGACAACTTTTGCGCCGCACAACGTACGCTTTAATTAATCCAAATGAAAATATCTAGAACATTTTTGTGTTCAAAAGAGAACTGTGTATGCTTCGACTCGAAGCATTTGAGTATGTGTTTGTGTGAATGTGTACTTTGTTCTCTGTTTTCAAGAGCTATGATAGACGTTATCACAAGAGAGCAAAAAGAAACGATAAACTTCTTTTTTTCTCATTTAACACATCGAACCAAACGACCGAAATGAAGATTGAAGTGCAAACAACTTTTGATTGCCAAATAAGGCCGAAATAATCTGGTCGAAATTAATGGGTAAAAAAATCGTCCTTCACAAAAATGCTATAGCTAATCAAATATGCACCCGTCGAACGAACAACTTTTGCGGAATCAATTGAATGTTAAGCAGATATTCCTTGGAATTTCTGCCTCAATCGAATTTGCTAAGCGCCAAATACCTTTTGAGTGATTGAAAACTCGGTGAAAAACTTAAATTGGATAAAGAAGATTTCTTTCAGTTTCAAATCTTTTGGAGCAAAAAAAAAGACGAGGAAAAAAAAGTAGACGAAGGAAGAAGAGAAGAATAAAACAGACAAACTTCAACCCAAGTAATTTATTGAACTTTTAGATTAATCGTTGTTTGTCAAGTGCTTATGGCGACATGAGTTATGAATTGCTACCATTTATAAATGCATGATTTTATAATCCTTCATGCTGTTTATTCTATCCGCTGTGGCTTGTCATCGGCCTAAGATTACAATTGACGCCTTCCCATATGTTTCCACGCTGCATGATGATGTGTCGAATGGTTCATACATCAATTCCCAATTCCATTCGGTACTTGTTGAAATCGAAAAAAAAAACAAAAGCAATTCAATAATTTCGAAACACAATTTATTTTCTTTATGGTAATACAATTTCCAAAATGACGCCTGTTCTCATCAAATTACATTTACATGTTCTCACTCTCGCCTCGCTTCGTTTCGAAATTCTCTGAATATTTGTTTGATTTGGAATACAATATATACATATGTGAATACAGATGTAAGTGTATGTTTGTTTTATGTTAATAGAATTGCGTATCACTGTTGACACCATCTATTAGTACGATATGTCAACGACGACGACGGGTTCTCTGCTGTGTTGATTTTGCCTGGTTCACGTATACCGTAACAAAAAGAAGAAAACCAAGTATAGAGAATTACACACAGCGCGTTGCGAATTTGTCGTCAAATTGAAAAGCAAACAGAATATAAAAAGCGTCACCGTCTAATTGAATTTTCTGTATTTTTGTACTTTATTTGCTTTTGTGTTGCGTATTTGATTTGTTGAGCGAGAAACAACAGCTCAAGTTTGATTATATTCGTGTTTTTTTCTCTTTCTGCGAGCGCTGGGTATTATCAGTGCGTTGCATTTGAATACGTGTTGTTCGCACGGAATGCAACGATTTGTAAAATTGCTGCTGCAATTGGCAAGAAATTACGTAGCTCGACCGGTCGAGGGAATAAAAGCAACAGTAGCAACAACGGCGTCAGCTTTCGTTGGAATTGCTCTTTTTTCCCTCTCTCTTTCTCTCTTTCTCTCTCTCTCGCTGCCATTTAATATTATCATCAACAACTGTTTGTTGAATGACGAAGTCAGTGCTCGCGCGCGCACAACATGCACACACAGCTTGATATGAAGCTCAAGTTTCGGAAAATTCAATTTCTATCTCTATATCGCATATATATAATAATAATTTATCATTCCATTACTTCAGTTCCACACTTCGACAACATAGATATCGAATGACGAACAGAAAAAGAAACAACCCGAAAAAGTTCGAATAGATGTGTGTGCTGGGAAAATGAGCGATTTAGCTCAGGGACGTTTTTCTTCTTTGATGCTCAGCGCCGAGTGTGTAGTTTTGCTCTCATGAAATATCAATTTCGTCAGTTTTGCAGTTTTTCACTTCGGACTACGGAATATGTGAATGTGCACGATAAGAAAGCGAATGGAAAATATCCACTTTTACCCAGGCTCCCCTCCTCCACACAAACACGTCAAATTGGCTATTGATAATATTATCTGATGGAGAGAATCTCCAGTGAATCGGACGAAAGTGCGAAATTATGCGAATTGATTACGGTTTTTGTGTGTCCTAACATCAAACAGCAATCACTCCAATCTGACAAATGTCCATCCATCTGTGAACATCAGCAGCAGTCGAAGTGGCAGTAGCAACAGTAGCACCGCCATCGCACACATTTTACCCGATATCGAGACGAAAGTGTATTCACAGGAGATTTGACAATTTCCGTGTATTAGTGCCTGCCTCTATCGCATACTGCAATTTCTCTATCGCGTACAGTCAGGAGCATTTTGTCAGCTGTAATATTATTTATACACACAGCTGCTTTTATTCCATGGGATATAACCAAACTGCCTGCTTGCCAGCCCGTTCGCTTCTTAAACGTACGCATTTCGTGGGTATATAGAGGCAAGTGAGTCTGAGAGACTGTCATTTCATTTGACCTTATCTAATGTCTATGCGATCCGTATGTGTGTGTATGCGGATTCATTTCCTATGAATTTATCGGCAGAAACACTATATTTCGCTCAATGTATATACTAACAATGATATGAGTGCAACGATCATTTGGCTATCTCATATTCCTGTTCAATTTTAACGGAGCAACTCTTTTTTCTCTTCAATTTGGCCATCGCATTTTCGCAAGGCAAACTCACATCAATGCTTTGCCATACGATCATGCAAAGCTCTCCCTCTACGCTTTAGTTTTGTCTGTGTTATTGCTGCTGCTTTTTTGCTCGTATTTCCATCAGTCGTATGTAGAAGGACAAAAGCACAATAATTGTGAATAGTGTGTTTGGGTGCGAACGCTAACCAATACATATGATGAGAAGCTCATTTGACATACACTTGAACATGTATGCGTGTTTGCTTTTGATTCGCCATGGCATATGCGCATTCATTATATACCAAAAATAGTCCCTCAATTTTCCCTTCACTCGAACGAACGAACGAACGTTCGCTACTGCTCGCTGCCTCAATGTGTCTGCATGGATATTTCTGTGGCTGAAACGCAGCCACATTTTGGGTTTTTCGTGAATCATTCATTGGCAAACTGGCAACCAAATATGCATGTAATCGAGAAGCACATCGTCGACTATCAAACTGTACACGAAAATAGCTTGCGATAAAAACATATTTATGGTGGGTTATATTTTCTGTGTGTGTGTGTGTCTCTATCTCTGGTTTCGGTGCTCATTTTTTCGGCTCCTTTTTCTTCTTTTTCGCGTTTTTTCCTCTCTTTCATCATCCGTTCATGTCGCCGTGTCATTTTTAAAATTGCTTTCTGTATATTTTGGTGTGTATGACCGACCGACCGTCGTTGTCATCGTCGTCGTTTCGTGTATTATAGCTGGTGACTCGCGACGCGGTTATCTCTCCCACAATATTGTACGTTGTTTGCGTATGACAAAGAAAATTAACAAAGCGACATTGGCGATAAGAATAACAAGAACCACCTGGAATAAGGAGAGAGAAAAAAAAACCAC